GATTAATTTTAATCGGGCTTGATTAATTTTAATCAAAATTGATTAGTATTGAAATAATAATATTTTTTATTAAACTTTTGTGATAAATTTATATATTATTTTTTTGTGACAAAATTGTTGTTAAAATATTTGTGTTGTAATTATATAAACATTTTTTTATTTAATATCAATTTTAATAATTAATGACTAAATTTTTCATCATAATTGCATTTGTGACGAATATTTTTTTGTAACGAATAAAATTGTTATAAATAACTTATTAACAATGTCAATTTTTTTTATCACTATAAGATTATTTTATGTGACATGTGCCTAATTTGTTACTAAGAGTATTAGTGACAAGGGTTTTACTGACGGTTTAAATTTTATCACGAATAATAATTTATGAAGAAAAATAAAGATTTAATGATAAATAATTTAATCACTAAATGTAAATTTTCTTGTAGTGAGAAAATAAGTAAGCCACCTATAAATATTTTTTTCTTATAAATTTACAAAATTATCACATGAAAATATCATTTTTGACAGTTAAAATATTAATAAAAACAATTGTATGAAGTGTATTTCACTTAATAATTGTCAGAAGGAATAGCCCTGATACATGAATAATTAACTAGTTTATAGTTTGTGCAAGGTGGATTACTACAAAACAATTTTCTATTAAAATATTTTGGATTTTTTAAACTTGTACCAAATGTGTAATTATTATACTTTTTAAATATTAATTAATATTACCAATATAAAAATCAACATTAATTTTATACTAATACAATATAAATTATTTTAATTAATTAATTAAAAATTAATGGTGATTTATTCAATATTAATTAATATTAAAAAATATTATATTTGAACCCTTGAGGCAATGATTAGAAAAATCTAAGCATTTATAATAAATTTTGATGAACGCAATTGCTTCATTTAAAGTACTAATATTAAGTTAAACATCAACAGAAAAGTGTGTACATCTGCATTGTGTAAATTATTTATTTTATAATTATTAAAAAAAATTAATATTAAAATAAATTTTTATTATCAATAATTATAAAATATTTTGTCTATCAAATAAGTTATATAGTATATTTGCAGACCCATGTAGGCCAAGTGCCACGTTACCTTTAGACAGCAAGTGATCCGCACCCTCTTCAATCATTCGAACTTTCTCACTAACAAATACTAACACAGTTACCAACCAATTTCTACAGTAAAAAAAAGTTATATAGTATATTTTTTTAACAAGTTCAATTTAAGATAGGAGATGAAAAATTTTAACATAATCATACTATAATTTAAATTTTAACTATTATTAAAATATGAATTTGTCAAACTTATATCTTAATATTTTATAAAAACACGTGTTTAAGGTGTATTAAATACATATTTTTATTATAAATTGTATTAAAATAAATTAAATTTTAATTTACTGACTATCCAATTAAATTCACCTTATACTAAAATTAATATCAATTTTTACATATTTTTTATATATATTTATAATAAAAAGATATAATAAATATCTTTTACCCTATATTTTAATGATATAGAATAGACAAACCTTTAAAATATTAAATATATCTAACAATTAATTTATGAGGTTGACGCATCCAATAAGTCATGTATGAATAACCAGAATTATTAATTTGAAGAGAAACTTTCAACCAGAATTGACAAATCCAGCTCATCCCTAAGCCAGGCAGGGATCCATCTAAGAGCCAACCTGAAAAATAAAAAGTAATAAAATCGAATTGAATTACTCTGTTAAAGTACCTACTCATATCTTTTTATGGAAAGTAAGAGGTATTAAATTCGAATAGCATAGCGTACGAGTGAGGTGAGATAAGAGATAAAAGATAATTATTTTTTATTATATAATTAAAATTAAAAAAAAAAAAAAAAAAAAAACAAAGTAACGAACAAAATTCATCATATTTTCAACATTACTCTCAGGGACAAAAATTCAGAAAGGATTTCTAAAAACATGTGTGAAAGGGAAACTGCATTCATTTTGGTCTTCCCAACCCCAGTCCGAAGTTTTATATATAACATATTTTGGAAATAAAAATCTTGAGTTTTATAATCCAACGGTAAATAATAAATTATTAAATAAAAAGATGATTCTCAATATCAAGAAGCACAAATCTCATTTAATTATTAATATTTATGTAGTTTGGTATGGTTTATATTACACAACACTTTTTTCATTAAATACATCTAATAAGAGAATTATATTTTAAGGTTTCAATTATATTAGACTGTAAAATATAGACTATTCAAATATGGGTGGGGTCATTCCTTCCAATAGTTAGTGTTATTTAATTTGATGTACTATAGATTATACAACCAACGAGGGGTTGGATCAAGTGGCAAGCGGCTTGTTCCAGCTTAAGTAAGATCTCGAGTTCGAAACATTGTGTACGCAACAACCTTCGTTGGGAGACCCACCCACCATTCTAATGCGCCACAACTGGTCGAGTCCGGAGTAGTCGGGACAAAACCCCGAATACCGGATGGAAAACCAAAAAAAAACTATAGATTATACAACACATTTTTCATCTAATAAAATAAAGGATAAATTTATGAAATTGCAAAAAGTCAAAACGTCTTTATTATTAAAATACTAAAATTAATAATAAAAAGATTAGAATATTGTTAATAAATCAATATAAGAAAAAATATTCATTAAAAATACTTAAAAAATTTTACAAAAGATTTTGACATTTAAAGTGCAAAAACATACTTATTTTCATTTTTCTCTAAACTTATACATAATTTTTACTTATAGATCCTAGAGAGAATTCCATTTTTTTTTTTATCTTGGTCTTTTTAAAAAATCCTAACCATTCATTATTTTTTATTATAAGTAAGTGAAATTTTTTTACTTTTTATTTTATTATTTTAAAGATACATATATTTTCATCCAAAATCGTAGAGACAAATCTAATAATATTTGTATATATACAATATTTTTCAAAATTTACCTCACTCAATTCAAAGTTAAAACTTATTTTTTTTTTAAATTTAAAATACCAACCTCTTAACCAATTAAACTATATTTTGTCATTTAGAATGATCCAAAGGTAATTAGTAGTGATAAATATGAACACACAAGTTATTTAACTACTTTGCTGGACAAATTTATGTGAGGCCGGAGCTAACGTAAGCACCTAATTTTCCTACGCACCAACTCCTTCGTATCAAATCCTTAATAAATGTGGATATTGAATAAGGCGAAGCATAAGTTTAACGACATTTTCAGGCAAAATGGATCTTAAATTGGCCGCCGAAGTTGATGCATTAAGCTAGCGGCACCATTATTCACCTTTTTTTTTTTTTTTCTTGGAACCAATCAATGAGCTATAGTGCACCTGGCCCTTGAGGCCTAATGGCAATAGCCACCTCGATGCATTCCCTTCTCTTTGGGCTGGGTTTGAAACCCGTCCCTTGCAAATATATTCAAAAAAAAAAAAATCAATGAGCTATAGTTTATAAACGTGAAATTTTTTTTTTCTAAATTTATCCACCCTATTTTAAATTTTAAATTTAAGATATTTAATTTAGAGTTTAAATT